TATGTATGATGTACATTGCCGAAACATACCTTGAATGACAGGAGTTGTGATGTTACTGAAGTAGGCTGTATGGAGGCCAACAAACCGCCAGGGGCGGACCGAACAGTCTGATAAGTCAGCAGTTACTCCCACACACCAATATTAACCGATCAGTCCCGTCGTATCACGGAAACCCGCCCAAGTCGCACCCAGCTGCTCGGAGGCGTTCTGATAATCTGTTTCATGGATTCCTGGAATACCAAATAATAATTTTAATGTTTTTCAAACAGTAGTTGATTGAATTCCTAATAAAATAAAATATGATTTATATCACAAAACAAACGTATTTGAAAATAAATTGATGACTTGCAAGATAATAGATATTATAAAATATATGTAGAACTCAGCATTCTAGCACATATACTGCTTCCGTTATTTTTGTTTCAGTAACTTACCGAGTCCATCAGATACGAGGCCACTGGTTGGTTGGTCAGTATCGAACACAAACCCGTCTGATACAGCTGTACGATAAATTCCTGAATGTCCGTAACCAATCACATTCGTGTAATATTTGACTTGTGACCGAAAAGGCGCCCAGGTTATATTGTGTGACGTCAAATGTGCTGGGAGACTTTCAGAACTTTCAAATATACCATGACCTGGATAAAAGATATGTTCAACCATATCAATTAACTAAAACATACTGGCATTCGAATAAAACATTTTATTTGAAATTAAAATATTCAACTTTACAAAATATGGATATTTTTAGGATGCTCAATGACAGGGAGGTAAGTTCCAGAAAACACCAGAAGCCAATAACATAATTTGCAAACACTGCTTTAAACGACTGAATGATAACATACATATCCCAACATTCATCTGTTTGGGAGAATAATGTTATTTTCGACAGAGTTGGCAAATAAAACGGACGGTATCTTCCTTTCAAAATATTAGCTTTTGATTTTGTAGATGTAAAAACTGGGGTGTTGATCAGTAACAGTTCAGTTGTTACTTAAACTATAATCAATAATATACAACAATTCGAGGGATCCACTATTCTGTCATGTAAATAATATTACCTACCGCCTGGGAATAGGCTGACATAGATGTCGTATATGTGGATATGTTCCTCAGCACCCAGAAATACGCCGGACCAGTCTATGTAAAGTTTCATAGGGTCGTTTGTAAAGTCAACTTCCTTCTTGTTTGTTCCATGCTGACGCTCCTTCACCTGAAGAAGAAACATATATATATTTACTTCAGGATTGTGTACTGTATATCTGCAAGTTTTCGTAAAGTTTAGTTTTAATTTCATCGACGATTATATTAAACTTTCGAATCAATGACCATGTGGATATTTTGAAACCCTCGAACTAAACAAACGAATTGCGAAATTAAAACCTCGTAAGTAAGTTCTGGATGAAAATAATTTTATAAAATAGTATTAAAAAGGTACTTCATTTACAATGATACATTACAATAAAATAGCAAAACTATAGCCATACCACTATTAACCATAAGGCACATTTAGCTGTATCGCTGTATTAAATGTTATGTGAAGATGAGCAACAAAATATCCCATCTGTGTCTTTCAAAGTTGGTTAATATCAAATTTATTTGAAAATAAAATTAACAGCAATCAAGTTAGCACTTCATCTTTCATTCCGAATAGGCAAGATATCAATACCCCGCGCATAATTGATAAGAAGTTCATAGAAAAAAGTGGTCGCCAGACGATAGACGGACCCTATGCAATTATCTAAGCTCAAAGGCAATTCAAGGCTTGTGAGCTAAAATATGTAAAAGATTAAATATTAAGATTGACGATGTTTGTGATGTGATCTTTATATATACAATACTACTGATATATAATTTCTATACAATACCATTGCTCCTAACAGCTTTGTGACACTTGGAGGTTGATCAACAATTGTGACACCGTCGGATTTATATACAGCGTAAGTCGTAATGCTAAACCATGACCTTATGAACACGGAGTATTGGAATCCACTCTTCAACTCCTTCCCTGTAATAATTTACAAGTGGGATTATGGAGTTACAGATACTCTACAACCGATTTATATCATTTTGTTTCGCGAATGTGTGCTAAATTATAGATGGAAACCCTAGTCAGTGACCATATATCTGTCAATAGAAAGCGGATGAGAAACATCCGACTTTAACTAAACAGCAATAGGACATGCTTTTTGTATACAAGTTATTCTTTACATCCCAAAATACACAACAAATGATCGATAGTGATTCTAATTCAAACGGAATAGTCAAGATTAGCCAAGTTACAGTGCAAAATATTTATGCAAAACATGCTCTAACCTCATTTTGGTTATTGGAACTTCAACCTGTGAGGAGATGGCCTAAATACATTTTAAATATATATATTTTGAAACAAGTTGTACTAAAATCAATACAACAAGAAGTAGTCTTCCTATCACCTCGTGGAAACGTGACCGTGACGTTATGAAACTGACTGGCGTCGTGCCAAACCCGGTCATTCAGATGATCGTATACTCCATCAGGGATATCACTGTGTGTATAACCAACACTCCACTCGTACCTGAAGGGTGGCCAATAAGATTCATTATTACGGTACTTTCTGGGTAAGTGATTTGGCATGATGTATTTATGTGTTTGATTAACACTGATGCTTGTTTATCCACATTGAATACTTCATCTACTCATAACTAGACTATCGTGTTATAATGTGGTTGTTATAGAGAGGTTGATAAATTGACAATGGATACTTTTTCATTCTCGATGCACTTTCCTCTCAAAAATAATTCAATGATAAATACTTCTGGAACAATAAATAGATTCCCATCAAACTGTTATTTTTGCTCCTTGAATTCTAAACATTATTTCTTGTAAAGACACGTCAATGTTTTGTCCATTTAATCTTTAAGATTAAATTAAACTTGATGATAAGCGTATGGTATTGACATTGCATATTCTCACCAAAGCACAGTCTGCCCTATAGAATGCCACGAGGCAGATACAGCCATGTTGCTGTATATATAGTCGATGTCGCCTTCAGAGGATGACCCGATGTTCTGTATATCAGTTACCATAACTCCTCCTAGGTTGTCTGAGGATGGACATATAATCAAAGTGTTATTAATATAGGAAACCACGGTCATGGCACAAAATTAGCCAAAAGATAATATTCTCACTGTTTTAAAACTCGTTTTATCATTTTCAAAACGATTCAATTCGACAGCACATATGATTAAAACTTAATTTGATCCTGTTTGCTGCACCGTTCCTAAACTCCGTCTACATCTTTATGAATCCCCAAAACGTTAAGATAATACCAACAGTATCATTGATAGATTCATGTACTTTATATTCATCAGGTGTAATCAAATACCTTACAATGAAAAAATTCTATTAATATATTACATAAGTCACGTTTTTAAATATTGAGTCGTTCAGTAGTGAAGTACCTTTTGTGACGTCGACACATGTCTGTGAAGAAGGACATGCCTGGTCCTGAGGAGAGCACACACAGTGACCAGCACACGTCAGACTAGAACATCGACGGACCAGTTCCATTGCACCTCCAGTAATTAACACAAACCGGCTATGCACAACTGGACTCCGCAATCCAGCCTGATTTATTTTATATATACAGTTTAGAAAAATAAATAATACAACCATTTTTCTCTATCGCTGATAGAATAATACAAAATGGACAGTTCAAATTAATATGTTTTCAAATAAAATAAGTTTTACAACTCATTTTATATCCTCAATTAACTTGCGATTTGTTCAGCATATGTGTCGTATACCTTAAGCTAATTCAGTTATTACCATGTTATAAAAGACATGTTACTATTAAACGATTGCGTTACATCTATTTGAACAGCCGATCTTATTTGTAATATTGACGCCAAAGAATGACATAGAAACGATATAGCTGAAGGAACAAAACACTAGTCTATGTCCATCTGTCATGATGCCGCTAGGTACATTTAGCGCTACATACATCATGTTTTGTCAATCAAATGGTATGACTGACCGGGCGATGCCAAAATAACGGGAAGAGATTTCCACTCAACATAGTTTAACTGAATGAATATCTATATAAAGCCATTTTTGTTTTCTTTTTTAGAGTTATTTTAATATGTGAAAAATGAAATTATAGTAATAGTAATCGACGAGTTGTTATGAAGGGAAACAAAATGTTGTTAGTTAATATGCATTTCTACTTATTATACATTTGTAACTGAAATAAGAGGTTGATTTGTCTATATAGTGTGTTTACTTACACCGTTGACGGCTGTTACAGAGATGTATACACTCATTGACGAAGTCAAACGTTTGGTTCTGATATTGAACACTTGTATGGCGTCCTCTCCATTGGCATATGGTGTGTCTATATCATGTATCAACCGTTCATTTGGATACTTTAAACAATGAAAGAAAATCTTAAATAAGATTAAGTAATTTAAAATCATCGACGTTTTAATGATACCATATCTGTTGTTAAGTTGATGTTTTTAATAAGATAAAATATTACTTTCATGGAATATAAGTGATTACAGTACATATACCCTGAATGCTGAGTTGTTAAACTATCATAATCATTCACAGTGTCGATAATTGGATACGATTATTTCCAATTTCATATAATGACATTTTCCCATTCACTTTATATTTAATAGCATTTTGTGCCTATTAAAGAACAAACTTACCAATAACAGATCGTTTGCCATGTAAGTTTCACCCACTGAAATTATGTAGTGTTCCACCCCCGAATGTATATCGTTGAAGCCCAGCCAGGCGAGCTTTAGTCTAAAATCTGTCCAGGTCATCCAATCCGACACATTTCGTTGTAGCTGCAGATTCACCGAATGCTCCGTGTGTAAAGCAAACATTCCTACGCAATATATTAAAAACATATTAGACAAACCAATTTATATCTTTGTGATGTCCCATGGTTGTTATCGTGATCTATTTTCCATTCATGGTATTTCAGCATCAGTGGCGTGAATAGGACAGGTTTCATGACGCGACATTCAATGTGATGCAAAACTGGCTTACTATTATTTCTCTCTATAGCGCCCAACGTGATGCAAAACTGGCTTGCTATTATTTCTCTCTATACCGCTAAGAACAATTTTGCAGTTATATTTTTGTTTATATTGGCAAAGGTTTCTGCACACATACATTTTGCGTTGTGTTTGAATTACCAGTGGATACAGAATTTGCGTCAAATACGACTGTTATACAGTACATTTCAGTACAAAGTACATATACGTATACATAGCATTATATTGTGAATAAGAGTCAGGCGTGGAATTAAAATGACGATTTTAAGTTATATAGGAAGACTTTTTTGGAGAATGAAATAGCAATGTCAACAGAAATAACTAAACCATTTTACAAATGTATCAAATACCTTTGAAATAGTCGATCTAGAATATCATTGACATAAACTGAATCATTGAATTGATATAATATAATAAATAGCTATACCCCGGGTTGGTGGTGAAGAATCAACAAAGATGCCTTCTGAAGTGGAGCTTGCACAAACTTCCGCCCCATTGCATGCTACTATTGTGACGTAATATGTACTTCCGTCATGGAGATCAAGGCCAGTCAGAATAAAGTCACGTGTAAAACCATCCAACTGAAACAAAATTATGGAACCATTCAATTTTAAAATTGCATGCGATATCTTAATCTCATAACTGACTTCATGTAAACACGTTTGTAGTGCAGGTCATAAAACAGAATAACTGTTCGATAATCAGCAGTGTTTTCATTGCTTTTTCTAAAAACAGAAATGTATAGATATATGAAGATCAATTTGAACGTACCTGTTTAGAGCTGAGGTTAAAATCGCCACCAACGTGTGATTCTAACGAAATGTACTGTCTTTCGATAAAAGATTCTGGGTCAGAAATCTGCCAGACAACTTTCATACTTGTACGGAATATCAATACATTGGGGATCATGCTTCCTGCATCAGACGCTAAGGTCGGTTTAGAGTCAAATTTTGGGGAGCTGTCATCTATCAGGAAACCGTTGGATGAAGACTCGGTATATAAACCTGTCATATAAAAGACAGAAAGGACATTGGTAGTGTTAATATTTAAGTTTATACATTCACGCATTAAAACAATAAACACATTAATATTCGTTTGGCATGTCTTTAGCATTGTGTTAATCGATATGCCAAGCCTTTGTCAAAACGTACCAATGTAGATTCGCAGTCGGGATATGAAACTATCGGTAATTAGTGACAGACTAATACATTGTCTGCCTAAACTGTTATGCACAATATGATATCTGCGTTTTCCGTAGCATTCATACTATAAGCGTAATAGATCTTGTAAAGCCAGAAACGTTAACTCAATGAATCTGTGAGGCGTATGAATAAATCATTATAGCGAAATGTGCAAAGAAACATACCAATAATCAAGTGATTTTGAAATAACCTGAATTACGAAACAGGGCTACGGGAACTGTTCCTGTAAGGATACTTACCCGCTTTGTTTTACGCCCCCAGTCCTGGTTAAGAATACTTACCCGCTTTGTTATATGCTCGGACCGTGACAAATATGTATTTGCCAACAGGTAACAGTGCAGGTAACAGGTTGTTAACCAATGCTTCACTCAGGTGACACTCCTTTGGTGCCATGATGTCGTCACTCCAACGTGATGTGCCTGCACGCACTACGTAGTTACGTAAGTCGGAATGGGCGTCGCCAAAGCCGTACCACGTGGTACTAAGCGTTGACCTGCGAGAGTAAGATATGAACATTGTTAATTTTGCACAGTCAGTTGTCGGTGTTTATTTGACAGTCGTTCAACCCTTCAACATTAATTTTGGTCCGGACAAAACGTAAGAAGAGTAAATATGACTTTATCTGATCAATTGATAATCTTTGCTTAAGCTTCTTTACCTGTGGTATTGGTACTCAATGTCGATGTCACCAATTCCGTCTAAGACGACCCCGGTGACTGGTACACTGTTGTCAATGATGACCCCGTCGGAGGAAGAAGCAACACAGAAGTCAGCAGTGTTACACGTGGAGACCGTTACGTAATACTTATTTCCTGGTCGTAGTAGCAAATTATCAAACGTCATTTCTGAAAAGGTAACGGTACCATATAATAATAAAAGCTATCTATAATAAGTTCCATTTAGAAATATTGAATTTCAATCTGTCTGATTTCAAGAGTATACAACTAAGACATACCTGTGCTTAGCCCAACAGAATAATTGGATATTACATCGTCACAGTGCTTGCACTTTCCAATGGAAACCGTGTATTCTGTAATGGCTGTATGTGGGTCGTAGAAACCTTCCCAGTGGCAGGATATCATTGATGAACTCGTTTGGTAATCAACATCCTTGATGTAACTAGCAGCATTATACTTCCCATCATACACTTTCCCAGTGACCGGAGGCGACAAGTCTGCTACAAACGCCCATGAGGTTGCCAACGAAGAAAGGCCAGCTCTATTTCGAGCCTGTGAAATAAAACAATTTTAGTATGATTAGTTTAGATATAGTTTTGTGTCCGTAAATGTCTAGATACTACGAGTAAACTGTGCATAGGAGTAAACTGTAACAAACACAGTGTACGATCTAACAATGCAATAAAGCTCAAGGTATATGTCCCTTAATAATGAAGAAAAAATATTTGATTGTGAATGTCCTTATTTTTGCCTTAATAACGAACCCAGTATTCATCAATAAAACCAATAGTTTGTAGTATAGATACACGACTCACATTGCCTTGCACTATGCATATGTGAATTAAGTCAGAGATCAATTGTCGAGAAATCATATGATTATATATACTTACTATAACAGATACATAGTAAGCCTGTCCGTCGGTTAAGTTTAAATGAGCGTCAGGATGGGTCTCTGCACATTCGGTAAGACTTTCCACCGAAGTAAACGTCATGACGTCATCATCTCCTGGCTCTGATCCCAAAGCCCACGAGAAGGAGGATATACCACTTTCATAGTCCAGGAATACGTCAGTCCAGCTAAAACACGGTTCAACGGTTCTTTATTGTTATCAATAAAAAAATGAAAAATGTGACGTTCTGATAACGTCCTTATAATTATGAAAGCAGTTTTTATTGCAGTGCATATATAGTAATAAAAGGATTGTTGAACACATTTTACCACTAAATGTTAAAGGTTAACGATTAAAACAATGATATTTTCTTCTGTGGCAAAAAACTCACAATAAACCAATCAATCGTAAAGCTGTGTTAAGTTAGAAATATAAAAAGGACATTATTGTGGCGGTCATAAAAATCATTCCTTTTCTTAACCTTGTTTTGGCTGGAGTCATGGAAGGCCATTGCTTATTAAAGGTATTAAAGGGGTTATTCTTAGTTTTATGACTAATTACAGTACCATTTCACTCATGAATTAATTTTTTCTTCATAGTTTTCATCTCACTCATCATAAGGAACCAATAATATCTCTTTAATGGGACTAGAAAACAAGATAACAACTAGTTTTCTATAATTAATAACTAAACTTTCATAACATTGATACAATCCATAGTAAACTTACCAAACTTGTACCGCTGAATGGGAAACAATATGTCGACTCAGCATAGTTATTGTAGCCGAAGTTTTCTCTGGAGGGGTATTGTCCACACGTGTAAGCTCGGAGGTAGCAGAAGTTGACTTGCCGGAGAAATCGTAAGCTGTAACAACGATGACAATCGAAACCAACACTTTGGCAGTGAGATAATATTTGTCCCTTGATGAAACAAGACTTCTGTTTTAAGGAAATTGATGCGTTTCACCAGGCAACCCACAAATAACGACATGTACACTTGTAGCGTATCTTAAGTAAAAGGCCCATTGCCTGATACAGAGACATGCATATACTTATTGTTTTTTTCTAATCCTACATTTCAGTAATAATTGGACTTTTGTACATGATTTACCTGTTTTCATATGACCAATTTTTGACCTACATGTTTATAAATGACCTACATCCGTGAATTTGAATTGCAGTCTATTCAACTGAATTTTGTTTCCAGTAAGTCGGAAAGTAAGATCGAAATATTTAACCTACGATCACACTTTTAGATAATTTGTCATACGATCTATTTTTCAAATTTGATTTATGATTTAATTGTTTCCTTTATTTTACTTTAATGATTTGGGTAGATGTATAATATGTGAAAAAGCAAAAATTGGAAGGGGGATATTTTGTCATAATACTGCCAAAATGTAACTTTGGATAAACGATTTAAATACAAATTACGTAGCTAATCAAGAACATATTAATTCATTTCTTCTATGTATCTCTTTACATGAAGCAACCGAGTCAATGACATTTTTTCATTTACATCATCAATGCAAGGAAATCAATTATACATACCTTTCACAGTCGCGTAGTAAGCATGTCCAGTTTGTAGTCGAAGTCCATGAAAGGTCACATGATCAACAATACCAACATTTGTTAACTGTACAATGTCAAGTCCGTATGGATGTGTGCCTGTCACGAAACGGAAGGAAACAGTTATTTTAAGTCCTCGTCAAACAGAAATATCTATTTAATGATAAAAGTGGATTGTGCATTTGAAAACAATCTTTATTCAGACAAATGACAAATGTGATCAAGGTTTCTGGTATATTTAATTTTAAATATAAGCATTTAATGAGAAAATATATTGAAAGTTAATACATTTAACTGTAAAATTGACATATTTTGATGTACAGAAAATCAGTTCAATGAAGTTACTTAAAGATCTCACCAACAGACACCCAATACGCTTTAATGCCAGTGAAATGTGGAGTGAATCCAAACTCTTCCACATCGTAAAATGGGTCCCAGTTAATGGACATATCATAGGTGGACGTCTGAAACGGAAATTATGACAGAAGTGTAATACTTATCTACAAGGTAATGTAACTTTGGACTATCTCTAGAGGTTGACGTATTGATTTTACTCTAACCTTATATTAATAAACCAATTTAAACAAGTTAACTTTTTATTTAAGCATACCATCTAAAAATATGTTTTATAATTCTTCATTTTTTTTTTTACCTCAACAGCTGGTCATTTTCGTTATAGGAAGTAAACAATTGACTAAATCGTGCAATTGTCCTTTATAATTAACAAATAACTAAATATTATAATTATAAATTATTAAGAGACTTCGCTCCAGTTTTTCATTGTCTCAAGGTGGTGGACGAACACAGGTTTACTACGGTTATAGGTATTACGATATCAATTATTTCGGTACTATAATTCTATGGCTCAAACACTCATGCATTAATCTCAACTGAAGGCTATAAATATAAAGTCCTGTTTACCTGATAGTCTATATGTTTGTCCTGTCCAATCCACACATTACCAGCACGAGGGGGAGTTGTGTCAACAGTTATTCCGTCGCTACAAGCGGTGGTTTCATTAAGAGAGAGCGTCCATATTTCTTGTTCTTTTACAGTGTCGTTTGCGTTTATACATATCATGTATCGTTTGCCGTGATGGAGTTGACCGTCTGAGAATGGTACATTGACGAAATTTGAACCTGAATGATTAAATAAGACATTATTTCAACTCACTGTTATGTAAAGCTTATTGAATAAATGTCATCTCCTTCGCCATAAGTCAGTAACAGATGTTGACATATCAATACATAACAAAGAAAACCTGCATCAGATGGAGGTGTTTATATGTTTGTATCATTCTGGAAAATCTTTAAAACTTTTGTATGTAATATCAGTTTGTTAAGGGTAAATAACCTCAGTGAGTAAAGCTTTTTTCTTGTGTTTGTTGATGAAATGAAGACGAACCATTTTCCTGAAGATTACTAGCCAGCAGTACTTTTGCTTTTCCATGCTTTTTCACTTGTGCAGGAGGAATAAATGACGTCTTTTGTGACACAAAAAGCGACCATTAAGATTACATTAGAATTATACTATGTTGTATTTAACGACTTATTTAAACTCAGAGAAGGACATTTTTAAAACCTTGTGAACAGTGAAAGGTAAAATATAATATCTGAGCATATTGTCAAACCCCGTACGTGTTGTATTGCACTTGATGGTATTTGGATGTGAGCAGAGATCCCTCAGATGTTCGAGGTAGGTGTCAGTGAAACGTTTGACGTCTGCCATGTTTGTGACGAGAAGAACTGCCCACGTGTACTCTCCATGCATGAGGCGCGGCCACACTGCCGACAGTTGGTTTGTATATGGCGTATAATCTTTATCTTCCTCCGACCATGCGCTGTTTACAGGTAGGTCTATTTCGCGGCCTGTGTTTTCAATTTGGACTCCATCTGATGTAAAATATAAATAATGTTTTCAGTCATTGTATTGGAAAGTCACATTTTGTGGTATGTTTTCATTTTTGAATTTCAACTTGGCGAGATTTGGAAATAAATCGAGACTTCAACTTTGTGGTATAACCTACAATTACATTTTCGAGCAACACTATTTCAATTTCAAAGTGGTTAAAAAAAATCAAAACATTTACATGATATTGATTGTAGTAAAATATCACATTCGACAATCTTAGACAACTCTCGTAAATATGTAGCCTGTATGAATCTCCGATCAATTCAATGTCTTTGTGAACATGTTCGTACCTTCATCATAGAGTTGTAACCCAACGGCATCTAACACCTGTGCTGATTTGATGTACTCAAATTGTGGTTTCGTACAGTCTGTGACGTCAACTGTTACCGATGCCCGGATGTAAACTTTGTTGTGACCCTGAACTATGACCCTGATGCATGTCGTGATGATGTAGTCATCAGTGGTCGAAAGTGTAATCAACACCTGTGGATAAAGAACTTCTGTAGCGAGATGTACGTATAGCCAGATAGTAACGTATAACCAGATATAATAAAGGGATTTTTTTTAAAGAAATATACATAGGAAATATAAATCAAAATGTAATTTATCTGATTTTTAATATTGTCATATAATGTCATATAATCCGATTAAAAACACAATCTGCAAAATGTTTCTAGATACAGAAGTATTATAGGGTCCGTGTAAGATACGTGTTAGTTCTCTTTGTCAAATGTTGTCGAGGCAGTGAAAAACATTTTGCCTATCACTCTAGTGTATCGACACATTCTCACCTAGTATTTCACCGCATCTTGTCTTTGTCGTACTCGGACAACCATTTTGTAAACTACATGATAGTGAAATTGACAGAATTCAATAACACATTTTGAATACACATTTCATGATATGTTTTACCATGAAATGTTTTTTTCGATGTAGCTGATATATACAATACTTTAATTACAATAACACACATTTTCTACAGGTTTCCTTGGTTTCGTCTACTCACGTGCGTCGAATTCTCCTCGTATGTATTGTTCCAAGCCGATAATAACGAGTTGTCATGTGATACATCAGCTAACGCCCAGCGGTAACCATTCACTACTTCACGAGCTTTGGTCTCATCCTCAATGTCGGGGTCGTAAAAACGTTCAAATATTGCAAGCTATGAAAAATATGAACAAATATATTAACGAATTTACAAAAGATTAATGTCTTATTGATTTTACAATTTGATAAAACAAAATCAACATGAAAATGTTTGGTATTGGTATGCATTGAGATTGAAAGCGCTAATAATAACTTTGACGTTTGGCCTTCCTATTCCGAAAGGCTACGTAGTAGGACCTAAATGAACCAGAGTTACATTAGCAGAATTCAATGTCATTTTGACCGTGTCCATGAAAGACATTGTTAAGTCAAGATATTTAATGGCAAAATGGATTGTTTTTCAATTGAAACAATTAAACCTTAAAAGTAGAGATGTTACTGTTAAAATCTACAGAATTGACCTATTTACCGTTCTGTTGTCCGTCGTGATAACAGATATGGAACTTGTGACAGGCGGACTGGGTATAATAGTGACACCATTGCTGTGCCTGGGCTGAAAGCAAATATCACTGGCACAGAACTTGACCGCAGTCCGATACCTCCGGCCAGGCTGAAGTAACATTGGTGAAGCACGGGCACTCAACAGCGTATCAGTCGGCATGAAGTCCATAAACGGATACCAAATATCTGAAACGTAGAAAACGAACCGTAAGCGTTCTAGTTTATGCACGGATATATATAGTATAAACGCCATTTTTCAGTTAAGAAAACATTTTATGAAAAGAACTATCACTGGAATGATGAATGTTAACGAGTTTAGACAGAATTTACTTTTAGTGGAATAATTGCAAATCCGACAATAACTCAAAACAGTCACAATACCCTTATCACGTAGCATTGTTTAAAATAAACAAACCAAAATACGGGGAGCATTCCTCAATAGCCCACATCGCTCGTGTTATAAACACTGTATCGTTATCCGGAATGTACCAGTGGGCGTCGATAGTGGTGACAGATGATTGGTATTCCAAATCACAGAGGCTGTTATCCTACAAAAAAAATGAAGCAAGAAAAGAGGATATTGTAATGAAACTTACTGAAGCGAAACTCCTGTGTTTAGTCAGATAACAATCACATATTATGTTGATCTCCGATCATTATAATGATTACACGCGATTCAATATTTACCAGAGAGCACACGTGTATGATATTTAGGCATTCTGGAATATATATAATTATTTGTGAAGTAAGTATGCAGTGATACATGAGAAATAAAGTAACTGCCGTACTGAATTAGCCTTGATGAAAAAAAAACCGCAAAATGCTCAATGCTGCTAATCAGTATACGAGTAGTACTTGTCTTTGGTAGAGGTCAGTCATTTTATTGGGAAATATTTTCAAATATCCATTTCTACTAGATAAGATTGATAGACTACCTTAAATAATAATATAAATATTACGTACTTGGCTAGTGTTCAGTGTTCGCTGATTTTCAACTAAAGTATAAAAAAAATCAGTATTATTTTCAGGAAAATCAGAAAGTCAACATATAAAATGAAAACCATTTTTTTCTTATTCTGGTTATATACTGGATGATATGCTATTATTATATTACAAGTGTTAATAAATACGATTTTTTAGATTCCATAACAGGTAAAAAAGCATCATATGATGAATGACACTAGGACTAATTGTTGCCGACCTTCACTGAAGCAGTTGAGACCATCCACAATCTGAATGTCTGGTTCTATCTGAGAGGATACTACAGTGACACCATCCGAGGATACCAACACTGTCCCTGTGGACGAGTTGGCCTCAACAGTCGTGTAGTAGGTCTACAATAAACAAAATAATCTTAGTAATATTATGTAGTGTGCAGCAATTATTTGATAAATATAGATGATATAACCATTTCCGGTGGAGATTCATCTATGATAACGCAAAGCAAACGATGTAGATGGTTTAGTGTTTACAAACTACAAGATTTTACAGTACTCACAAAATAAGTTAGTGTTAAAACGTTGTTATCGATTCTTTTTCAATATGTCTGTTAATCGAGTTATTAGTTAATCCCAGCATTATTATATGACACATGAATCTAGCTTTTCCAGCATTTAACATTTATATTGAAATATGACTCCCTGGCATTTCCGCAATGATTGAATCTACCACTCAACAATTCTCCTTTAGGAATCTAAATGTTAATCAGATGAATGATTAATAAAACTCCTTATGTCATCAGTTTCTTGAAAAAAAATCGTTTCATCTGTTTATCCATTACGTAAGAAAAAATATATACTAAACTGGAAGGGGAGGGTGCTCTAGGGGAGGAATATTGTTGTCGTTGTTAAGCTCTATCTGAAGTTATTTTATTATTCGTCTTACTGGTAAAACCTGAACAACTATTAAAGAACCCGTCGTTCATAAACTATCTATTATGAATGACATCCCCAGTATTTGCTCAAAATTTAATCCCTCTGCAAATTTGGTTCAGACTGGCACTAATTAAACGCTTATATTGTTATATTGTATTAACGACTTTTTTGCATTTGTTACAAACCTCCAACTGCTTTAGTAGTAATCCCTCGATGAGATATGTTGTCTCGTATCCGACATACACAGGTCCAAACACATCGGAAGACATCCTTGTGGTGCCAACGGATACTGTGTAGGTGACGTTCAGGTGAGGATGAGAAAAGCCAGTCCACTTCACACGAAGTTTAGATGTGTCATTTTGAAAGTCAATATCAGGAATATCCTACAATAAAATCACCTTGTATACAAATTCTTATTGTATTTATGGAAATTGATAAAGAACAATGGCAGTTGATGTATCTAATATAATGACTATATTCGACTCGTTGTTATTTCGTTTAATGTTATATATATTTACCTTCCAAATATCGTAGTTTGCCGTCGCCTGAAAAGATAAATGATCAAAGATTGAAAAGATTACATGTAATCATAGACGTCATAAATACTAGGACGGCTGACATAGTTTCCAATTTAACTATTATATATAGCCAATCACGACAAAGTTGTCATTTTATAGGAAAATAGTCAGTGATATATTCTATTTTGTTTCTCTTCTGATTTATATTTTGTTGTCAGTACAAACTAAAACTCATAGCGATGAAGTATTTCTAAATAACTTCGCCAACAATTACCTCAACAGAGATATCAATCACGCTTCCGGGTGTTGGTAACATGACGTCATGTACATACGGGTCTGATGACGATGTGGTAAACAACCCGGCTGTATTCTGGACCTTAATGGTGACGTAATAAGTATGATGTCCGTGGAAATCCCAGTTAATAGTTGCTATGTCTGTGGAGGTACAGTTAGGGGGAAAGTGATCATGTGAACAGGTGGGTCCTTCCTCTAGATCTTTAAACTCCTGTACATCAGTAGCGAAGCGTGACTGCCCTGTCAATATAACAGTCTTTTATATGAACGATGTACATCTTAATTTCAACAATGACTTAAAATAAAAAACATAATTGGAACAGAGTTGGTTTACTGCCAACCTCTAATTGTGACCGACTTAATATGCTATAAATCCCATACACGGACGTCTTTGGATACCCCTGTAAAACTGCCTCCTACTTTTTTTCAAAGATGTCTCCATACTCCGAAATGTTGTTTGACGACATTTATCTATACAGTCACAAGTCTCTAATATAATAAAGGAAGCTAAAAATAAATAAATAAAATAAATAAAAACATTTTCCCCCATATTCCATTTACTGTAATTTTTGTCGGATACGTCATTATTTTAATATACTAGCGATGGTTACAACGTTTCATTTTCATTTTTTTCTTTAAAGATATAATTTAAATACTATGTTTAAACGAAACATAGCATGTTATATCCATTCAGAACAGCTTTTTTTCAAATACGTTATAGCGTTATGAAAAGAGGATTGATCATACCTATGGCATACTGGTACTTCAGATTATATGGCTCCTCAGTGTCAATCACAGCCTCATCAGACCACCACGTGACCAGATATCCCGCATTATATTCAACGTTAATGGGTCCAGCTACGTTAGGTGGTGTTGTATCGATGATTAGTGGACCAATGCTCTTGAAAATAAATAGAAGGTAAAATGTACGAAGATACGAAATATTTTACTAGCTCATGATTTTAACGAATACATGATGTAAAATTGTAACTTAAATATTACATTAAAAAAAAAGGACATCCTTAATGGGTTTTAACAATAACCTTTGATAATTTAAGTTGAATATTCGATATGACGCATAGTATTATGATTGCTTATAACGTATTATCAATATCCCCTATGCATAAATTAATTTAATGTATAAATAAAGATACAAAAATGTGACCAATTTGGCTATAAACCTGGATGACATGGACGTTCGCCTTGCTGGTGGTTTTGATAAGAACATAGAAAATTGACCCTTCTACAAGATCCGGGTGTCTGATTCTGTCATGTGTATGCTGCTTTGTAGAAGTGAAGGAGTACAAATCCGGGGCTGGACTGTATTGTATCGTAGACAAGCCAATCTCGTAACCAAATACGATACTAGTATTTGACATAATACGCCAGGACACCTCAAGCTTGAACATAAAATATTAAATACAAATGAACAAATATGCAAAATACCTATCAACAATTGAATTGAATCAATACAAGTTAACCTAGATAATTTATATGGACTAAAAATTCCGGAGATCACTCATCAAAACCACTGTACTTTTACTTACAGCATATATAACCTGGTCACCTGTTGTTTAGATGTTTATATGAGTATTATATGACAGGTATACTCTAATAGAGAATGATTCAATTAACACATCTGACACTTGTCCACCTGATTCTATTTTACATAACAGTAAAACATATTATAATATACGTAATAATAATGCGTCCTAATACTGAAATTACATATGCGGATAATTGTGAAGAACACTTAATCACTTACATTGTTACTTCTCTCCAGTACAATAACTGATGTATTAGGTACTGCAGATGAAACCACACACTCGGCATTAGAGCTCGTGACCACATCACCATTTACGTATCGGTTGATCGGATACAGAGAAACGTCATCCGACAATGTCGCCATAAGTCTAAAATACAAAATGCGCATAATGGTGTTTTTTTCCAAAACTTTACGCTTCGGTTTGATAGAGTGTCTTACAAAATACAACTTTGGTTTTGACAGCATATTTTTCGCGTACGTTCATTTTTTTTTTTGCTTCGAGATTGTCGGTCCTGCACATAAGGCACTGTACACCATATTTAAAAAACAGATCAGAAAGAGCAATGGAATGTATTTTGACAATAAGTCAATAGCTTGTATTTAGTGTCTCTTGACCTTAATAACTTGTTAATCCCCAACGGCTTATCTGCATGTATCAATATATCACAAAGTGAAAAGTTGTATATTGTTTTTTAATCCTGATGTAATCTAACGAAACGAAAAATTGACGTGCAGACGAACGGACGGACACAAATGTTACTATAGAACCTCATATCTTTAATGCTTAACATTTATAACTTTGTTTACAGTAACCATTTACTAGGTTAAACCAACCTGCAGTCCAATGAAGGATTGGTTACATGATTACGGGTCCTGTTTGAATTCAGAATCCACACGTGATCGGAGGTATCTTGTACAACGCCGCCTTTCACCTTTGCTCCTTTGACAAGCACTTCGGTGACGTTTGGTTCCGCCGTTACTATGGTAATACTGTCCGAACAGACTGGTGCGGACCGTTCCATGGCTCGATTGTAGGCAACCACCGTGACGTAATATGTTCCCTCACTCGATACATTGATCAAAGCTGATGTTCCGAAGGTTTCCTTGACCTTCAACAATCACAAGTTGTTATGCTTTACGTAACATCTGTAAAACGTTAAACGGATTTACTTTCCGGGAACAAAACGAAAAGCTAAAATACGATGAATTCCGAAACATTTGAGAATACAGGAATGGGAATACAGAGAATGGGAAGGTGCTTTACAACGTTAAAAGTGTAGGTACTTCAGGTAAACAAATTTCAGCAACAAATTTACGGCCAACCTCATAAACTTATTCAACCTCCTTGTTACGTCAATAACTACCAAAAATCAAAATAAACGAATTAAGGAACATTTAAAATTTAACACAAACGAAAAAAAATCATTAACGTATTGAATTATTATTTGTTTGTTTCTTTGAATTTTTCCAAAACGTTTTTAGTACCTTTAGAGAATATTTATGTTAGTAACAAAGAATCAGTGTATGTATACAGCTACATAGTTTGATTGCGTTATCATTACAGTTTAAAATTTGAAATGCATTGGTTTACATTCATCTGGTAATTTTTCATAAATTCCTTTAGTTATTTCTTTCCACATACCTTTTCACCTTGACTGTTTGCATTAAAATCATCCTTATAAATGCAGGCGTGATCTACTCCATACTGATACAGCAAAACGCCGCTCTCCTTGTCAAAGAACCCATCCCAGTATGTATGGAACATCTGGTCCTGTTGGAAATCTATTTCTGGCTGACCTCTATGACCTTCCATGACATAGCCAACATGGGGAGGCGTTGTATCGATGGTTATCTGTACATTGTAACATATTAAAATATATTTGCGTCAATATTTGAATAGATGGGTATGATAATGAAAAAAGAAGATGAAATTAACTCAGCAAACACTATTTATTCGATGTACTGTACCTAATTCAATTTTTTTAATGACCCACAACAACTATGTGGATACTGCCATGGTTCTGAGCCTGGCTTCAGTGTCTCGTTACAAACATTTATCTCATGCAAGAGGACTCTTATTCATTCATTATATTCGTTTATCCATTCATTCCGACAATCACTTCACTATGACTTATATTAATATTAAATATGATTAACATTTTATTAGATATTTGCTATTTGCTGGGTTTTTTCTGCATATTGTGTGGTATTTATAAGATACAATCAAAATAGGAAAAAATACGAAAAACACACAAAGTAAGAATATGAAAAAATGCTCTCAAGGGTTTCTCCCCAATTTATTTGACTGTATATTACTTCTCATAACAGTAAACACACTGCACATCCTGAAATTCCATTCACCTTGAAAGAGTGTGTGGTATTCACTAAAGCGTTGTTGGTGGCTGTCACTTCGAACATGTAGTCATGGTTGTGGACCCCCCTGTCCTTTCCCGTGTAGACCCCTCCCTTTGTGGGATCACCCACCAGCTGAGGCTTTACGTTGAAATGTTGATGGTAGCATCCAGAGTAACGCGTACAGTAGCAGTTAGCTCCCCTTGGGTAGGATTCATACTGATCTTCGCATTCCGTAAGATTCTTAACAGATTAAAACAAGGGTAAAAGGAAAATACAGACATAAAAAATGCATTGATTTTTCAACCTGGAATCATTATAAAAAAATGATGACTGAAAAAAACCATTTGAAGTATTCTGCAAAACGACAAAAACATGTTTAAAATCAAAAAGATTTTGAAGATGTTTACAATAACACAATGACATTAACTAATATGAGGTTGCGATCAAATAACGAAATTACGTTTTGTGTCTCAATCGAAAGACCGCCATAATGTCGTTTCATTATTGCGACTTTGCTGTCCGAAACTGAATCTCACTGATAAATCCTTACATTGTGTATATTGCACTTGTACAAAGACAGACATATAAAACAATATATCACCTCTGAATTTCCCTGGGCGATCAACCAGTCCATTCCATGTTGTATGTCTTCTCCAGTAAAGTTATCAAACAGCCTCCACTGAACCGAGTGTAGACCGCTATGGAAATCATACGCCAGCCATTCTATACTGCAAAAGAGAGAATTGGGATAATTGTAGATAGGAAGAGAAGAAAAACGTCTAATAAGCTCAGAAGCTTGTTTAACATATGTTTTGTTTTCAGTTGAATTTAATGTTTTTCTCCCAGATTACTGACAATACTAAATAAATCATGTTAAATAAAACAAATGTTTGCTAAATGCACTTATTTTACCACTTCGTACTGATATGCTTTGATTTCATTAAACAAGCTTGTTCAAATTAAAGGCCGCCTCTAAGTATTGAATGAATGTCGTAATAACTATGCTCTGATTGCAATAACATCGAAGGTCAACACATTTGACCCCAAAATAAACCCATCTGTAATCAATTATGAAAGTGTTCTAACGATATACACATGCTATAAATAGCATTCATACGATTTTGAAGTAGATACAAAATAAATGATACAGGGTGTGATGGAAGACATGTGTGTGATCTGGTTTGACCTGTCATGTTATTGACTTATTTGAAGACTGTCATAGATGTTTTATAGTTGTTATTACAATGTTTCCTACCTTTTCTAATTGTGGTCTTCCAAGCACTAGAATACCTGGTAATTGCAGTATGTATACAATTATCTGAAATGCATTGTTGATGTTGACCAAAACGTTTCATATGATAACAATAATATGTAACAAGGAAACAATTAGATACTCAATGGAAATTTGACAAAGGATATGGACACACTTCTTACTTCATTTCTGTGAGTTCCTCCATTGAGTGAACGCTGATGTTCAGACGATTTCCTCGAGTGAGCCATAGATTTTCAATGACCGGAGGAGAAACATCTTTTATGATGTAAATGCTATCCTGCCAGTGTGTACCAACGGCGTCATAAGCTCTGACCATGATGTTTAATTTATCTCCATCTTCCATAGAAATGTTGACATGCGTCCCCTCCTGGTGGACATCAGATGTGTTTGTATAATTACTGAAGTACACATTGTTATACATCTCGTGTTCTGTGGCAACTGCAAATCGTACGACACCTGTGACATAACATAAAATAAATAATAAATAGATCAAAATCCGATGTACTGTATTGGACCAAATATGAACAACATCCTTTTATATCTCCTTTGCTATTTTTCTAGTCCGATCGTCCCATTTCTTCTCTTAACCATTATTAACCAAATCACTTTAAAATGTATTTATATCTTTGTTTTAAAAGCTTATTGAAATGTTGTGCAATTATAGTTTGTGTAAATAACTAAGCACCCGAAGAACTTAATAGATAGAATACACTTATTAGATTTTTAAAAAGTTATCATTCGTCGATTAGAAAAATAGAATAAGTTCAGTCCACTCCATTATCATGTAAAAGAGTCTACTGGTTAAATAGCTGGACAGAGTTGACTAGAAACCGAGAGAATCATTACCATAACACTAACGGGACAGCAGGACTGATGTTTATTGTGTTGCCCGTGTAACAGGAATTGAGTCTTTTATCAGTATTATATATATACTAAATTTGAAACACCTTGCTATCCTCGTTATACACTGGGAATTATGAATAAAAATGGTAACTTTATTATGAACAAAAACGTTTTCCTGGAATATAAAAATGATTTATTATGAGTAAAACGTGCCTCTGACATTCGCAGTAAAATTGATATTCCGATGACCTTCATGGTCGTCAAGGACATCCTCGACTCCAACGTGAGGCTCCACGGAATGTAGCCAGTGATAGGCGTCATGTCGGGCGTTAACGAATCTTCCGACCCACGTGATATTGATAGTCCGAGTGTCTACAGTAAGCCACGTGTTGTTAGTCTTCACCGACGCTGTCGCTACATAGGTGTAGGCTAGCGGAAGGACATCTACCCGAGATTGATCGTCAAACAGAGAAAGTCGTCTCATACTGCGGTAGTTACCTCCCTTGTCAAATGCGGTGAAGATGATTGAAAACATCCCCGGATGTGAATAAATGAAATAATCCTGTTGAACAAAAAGTAAAACTTGGTTATTTGTTTCTATGTTTACCAGGACTGACAGGCAAATGAATATTTAAGGATTCCGGTACCACTGCAAAATCTGTAACTAAGCTTTTATCTTTTTTCTCCGAATATATTTTATAAAATGAAAGCATGAAAAGTTACAGTAACTATACTATGCATATATTAGTTGAACGATACCATAAAATTAAGAAAAACAATCGTGTATGACAATGTTAGTAAAAAAAGGTCACGTGTGAGAAGAAGAGCTTCTTCATCAGCAAACTACAGTCAGCGCTGGACTTATATCGTTTATTATCAAACAAAAAAAGAATTTGCAGAAGAAATGACCGTTGTTTATCATATATATTTAACTCGAGTCAGCTAATTGTCAAACAATTGTGGAACTTCTCTCTAACATAATACATGCCATAATTCAGTGACTATCCTTGTTGTACAACCAACGACGGTTCGTTTGAGGTGAATTGTTTGCTAATTGATATGCAAAATAAAACTTTAAGTATGCATTAAGGTCCTGCATAGTCCTTACAATGAAAGATAACAGAGTCAAAAGGTGTCAATATTTAAATTGGCACGAACAAAAGTTGAGAGTGTAGCAAAAGTAACGGAATTTATTTATTAACTCTTATGTTTAACCAGCATTCCACCCGTTTTTGTCAATAAACTTATCATATATCCTCCAATTGCTTATTCTATAGATAATTTGATAGTGAGACACAACTTTACCCAATCTGTATTTTGGTTGTGTGTTGCTAGGAAACTCAAACACTCAGATATACTATCTGAGAATTTACTAGCTCGAATGTAGACCTATGTAAGTTATCAGCAATCAGCTCTTGTAAATCTTCTATGCAATACAGTGAATACAAATGTTAGTTGGCACTTACACTATAGGTATCCGCAGACATGACGTCACTACTGTAGACAATGGTGCTCTCTGTCAGGTTTGTTCCGTCGGTCACTAGATCGTATACCTCATAATGGTAATGACCTATACCACCCAGTTCGTCATACCAGCCAAACCAGGAGAATGACGCGTTGCTCTGACAAATAAAATATATATTATAACAATACTAAATATGTAATAACAATATTAGGATATGTAGTATAATGCTTCGAAGATACATAACTGCTAATTTGTTAATTATATCCCGAAAGGCTGAAAGTTCATCATTGTCATGCGTTTACGCTCCCATGATTTTGTTCAATGTTCATGAAACAAGAATATTCTTGTTTGTTTCAGTAGGACATATATAACAAGCACACAATATAAAGTATTTTACAATAAATATATAAAGAAAGAATAACAATAACTGAAATTTGTTTACCTTAATTTTAAACAGTTTGGACAACAATCTCGAAATCATCTGGCTTAAAAAATAGACCATACCTATTAAGTACATACTAATAATCGAAGTAACGGTTTGTTCACATGCGACTCACGTTTGACGTAATGTCTGGAACCGAGAGAGTGTCGAGATCATCAACTTTGCATAGGTCAGAGGGCATTGGGTCAAGATGACAATGTCGCGGAATAACAAAATCAAAACGTATAGTATAGATGTTGTCAAAAGTTCTTCCGACCAGGTTGTATCTCTTGGTGACGTTGATTTCTCTGTCGACATATTGGACGTAGCCGCCATTGGTTGTTGATAGTTCAAAAGTTACACTGTTATAAAGGAAACGTAAAGATATGAACAATTGGACCAAACCTTGTAGATTGTACTACCGAGTAACTACATTGTAAGCTTGTTTATCATCATTAAAAGTTAAACTTCCTTACTACACATAAAAAGGGACAAACTAAATAGGATAATCTACAGGTTTGAAACGGTGTACACAATATCCAAGCATGTTGATTTTACCTAATGGAACAGATACACTATTAATTAAAATCAATGATGAACTGAATAATGTACCAAACAACGCAGGTCAGTGTATTTAAAAGTTTGATTCAAACGATTTTTTTGCGTTGAATACATTTTTTTCTATTAATCTAGGTTATTATGAAAACAGGGGTCCAAATATACCGTTCTGGCCGTCGTGTAGCGATACAAAACCAACACATCAAACCCTAACAATGAACCGAAACAGTGCTACATCACTATTAACTAGTAAGCTGACAATATAAGTGTTGGTCAGGACAAAGTCATTGATATTTTTTAACAGAAATACAACTTATCCATCAATATATAACATTAACTTACGTGTCATTATGCTTAAACGGAAGTGGCCACTCATCCAATGACTGCTCGTGTTCGCAGTGGTAGTTTAGTGCAATAGGGTCGTCCTGAGTAGCAGACGTGCATATCTTGTCTATATCGAACACGTCGACAACTGTTACATTGTAGGGATCCGTTGGGAAGTTGTATGATATATCAAACACACATGTACAATTTGAAACATTATTCATTGTAGTTTCGTTACCAGTACAGGAACAGTTCACGAAGTCAGAGGTCAAACCATCTGCATCAGAGAGAGGACAGCTGCATTTTGTGTGTAAACTGTCAGGGAAGTTGGTAGAATTTACAGACGGATCTCCATGGCAATCACAGATCATGTGATACGTATCATTTACGCAAAATAGTGCTGGAGGATTCATTTCATTGGAGGTGATGTTGACAGTAGATGTTAAATTTCCGTAAAGATCAGTAGTGTTGTCAGCATATGTTTGGTTCTCCATCACGTTGGTCAAATTTGCTATCGCAGACAGGTTGGCACAAGGGTCCCAAGGGTATATCGTTACGATACGTTCTGAAAAAGAGTAATTTATCAGTTGAAGGATAAGAAACATGATTAATACTTTATTGATCTTATTTGTATTTTCGTTTTTCATGAAGTGATTAAGAAATATAATATAATGAATTACTAATATAACACTTTCGTTCTGATATGATAAGGAAAGCATTTGGTTGCATGAAGCCCTATTGCACAAAACCAAGTCCAGGCTTCATGCCTGTAAACATATCGACTATGAAAATATCATATAGCAGTCGGGACATAAAATATTTATTCTTCGTTTATTTTATATATTTTCAGAGAAACCGGTTATTGGTATTTTATTCTCAACGACTTTGTATGGCTCGATTTGTAACTGAAAAGTGTATAAACGATTTTTGAGTCAATTAACAAATGCATGGATAATAGATTGTAAGGGCCTTGCAATTACAATATTATTACGTTGCAGATTACCTTATTTCATGCCATTTAATGCTAGTTAAAGAATAGTACAACATCCTATGGTAATTTATGACCCGACATTACTAAGTTGGGGCCCCAGGACACTGCGTTAGGCCTCTAGGGTTAATTATTGCCCGACATTACTAAGTTGGGGCCCCAGGACACTCTAGGGTTACTTATTGCCCGACATTACTAAGTTGGGGCCCCAGGACACTCTAGGGTTAATTATTGCCCGACATTACTAAGTTGGGGCCCCAGGACACTCTAGGGTTAATTATTGCCCGACATTACTAAGTTGGGGCCCCAGGACACTCTAGGGTTAATTATTGCCCGACATTACTAAGTGGGGGCCATAGGTTACTTAGGTAGGATCCTAGGGTAAATTATGACCCGATATTACCAAGTTAGGACCCTGGGATACTAATTTAACGCACTAAGTTTACCGATTTTGGGTACTATGTAACTAAGTTAGGCCCCTAGGGTAATTAATGACCCGATTTCACGGAGTTAAGGTGCTAGAATTCTAACTTAAAGCACTAATCTTACCAATGTTGGATCCTATATTACTTAGTTAGCGCTCTAGAAAAATAACTCCGGAACTATGGAACACTGTGCTGTGTGCCTGAAAAACTTTCCAAAACCATATGGAGACAACGCATTTATGACAAAAAGTTTAATCGGAGTCATGCTACAAACACCGACAATACGGTATCACTAGCATTAAACTACTGCTTACAATATGGACGAACGTGTATTATGCAAAGACGCGAATAGGCCTCTAATCTGAATCCATAAAACAATTTTCATGAAATAAAGATTTTAAACGTCTGACAAGCTGCCGCGGAAAAGCACATGTTATCTTTAGTATTACATTCGTTTTAAATAAAAATGATTTATGTCTATATTTAAACTCTCGTGTTTTGTACTGTACCAATACTATTCTTTATGATATTAGATTATAAAGTCTGTGCTTGATTGTCAAATCAAAGAGGCAGAAAACCACATACAAACACATGTTAACACTGACTGATAAAACAAGTTAAATTAGGCTTGTTTACTGTGTAAATCTTACGAAAAATCACACCCAAAAAGTAGATACTTAGTACTGCCTTACTTTTTCAACATCGATTTAAACGTAGGCCTACAAATTAGTCTACTTTCATTTTCTTTGAATCTTATTCCATATACTAGTATCAAAAACTTGTTTGATATTAATTATCAGTCCACCATTTTTCGTGCGTCCTCTCAAGATATGAAAGATTGTAATCGTTGTAATTATCACTCATTTGAAAATAAATATTGGGGTTATAGATTGTGTCAGTACAATCACCCTACCTAGGGCATAGTTATATACCAATTTTGTACACGTACAGCGCTTTGATTGTATTCATTTCAAATCGGTGATTTAAACTGGTAAAACTTCATCGACCGATAAGAAATGGGAATGAGATCAACTTCCTTGTTGAAAAAACCCGCCAATATACATTAACTATTAATTGGTCTAATAAGCCGATTTTCGCGGTTTATTTAATGTATTTTCTAGTGAATATAACGATAATAAGGTGCACCTGTCACATTGATTTGATTCTACTCTGAGGTCGTTAGAAGAACGAATATAGAATAAGTCATATTTCTCAATGTATATTTTTGAAAAGGGCTAATGTTTATCTACATCATGGTAAAGAGTTAGAAGTTGTCATAACAAATATTATTGAACGAAATAAGTGGAACCTTAAACTATTTCTAAATATGAATAAACATTTTTCACACTTAATCCAACCCCTTAAAATTATTGTTAGCACAATATGTTTAAGATACTTTGACAATAAAAGTAAATACATTTTGACACCTTTATGCATAATGATCCTAGAAGAAGTTAGACGTGTGTCCCGGAAGAATAAGAAGCTTCTCCTACTTTATCGACGACATCCGCCATTTAAATTTAGGTTGAATTTAAATGATACCACGTCCTCTAAGCGGGATCTCGGTAAGTGACAACGAATAAGCAAGGCGACTTATGAGCATAATCATGACAAACACAACCTTGCTTACATTCAGAGGCATACATAGATCTCATAGGAAATAACGACTGTGTGGTCTCTATATGGACTTCTAAATTTTAACAACCATGCTTGAATTTAGAAACTATAGCAACATTTTGTTTGTTTGTTTAACGTTTTTGTTTGAAAAAAGGATGGATGGTTTGTTCATATATTTGACACATTGAATATTCCACACCGTCGTTATTATATATATTGACATATATTGTAAAGCGGATGGAAAATAACATGAATGAAAGTTTTTATGCAACATTTTGTTTTGCAATTTTTAAACGTCTATTTCATGTTTTATATACACACATATCTTTACCTCGGACAAGTCGCATGACGATTTTCCCGGAAATTATACCGTACTTGAAATCCGTTATAAATTGATAAGGCGTTGGTACCATTCCTCGCAGTGCATTTTTTGCTGTGAAGTACGCATGCGTATTATTCAAGTCCTCCATGTTTGTCCACACTGTATCTGGATCGTCTGTAAGGTTAGGGTCATCCGGGCACTTTGTATCCTTATTCTGAAAGGACAGTTTTATCTGATTTGACAAAACTGTAGGGACATCCACAACTAAAAATAAAGCAAATTTTTTAATTAATATACAATAAAACAACCACTACTTTCCAGAAAAAACCCCATTTAATGTTAATACTCCTGGGTCTGTTTTACTTCATATTAACCAGGTATTGTAAACAAATCAGTTTTAACGGCATTCATTTTTTTTGCACTAGCAAATTCAATGTTTTTAAAATACACTAACTACAGAAAGGAATAAGTGTGCTAATTCCTTATTGCAATACAATATGATATACCGTTGAATGCTTTAGTATGAGTGTGCTATTTATATTAACATCCAACTTGAAACTGTAGTTCATAGTAGCAGACTTAAACAACGTTCATAATATCTATGTAATTTATCATGTCTTTAGGAGTCGGGGTCCGTCGTATAAAAAGCTCAGCTTGACCACACTAATCTTTTATATGATATAATGTAATAGGTTGTCAACTCCCAGAGGACAGAATACAAGAAAAATATTGATAAATATCGGTTTTTTCGTTTGCTTGTTTTATCAATTTTGTTTTTCAAACATACTTTTATAGATTGCAAAAATTGCAGAAACGGTGTGTTGACTTATCCAGCTTTGAAAACACGGGTCGTGGGACTATTTTCTTGAACCTGGAATTATATATTAACTTTATGATATCTTGTATGAGTAGTCACTCTAATGGACAGCTTTTATATACTAATGATCGTACTTATCAATGGCATGAATTTGAATGTATTAATACTCCTACAAGTGTAATGCCTGTTAACTGGTCAGTTTGTAAGCAAGAACAAGTCTTCAAACTCGATTTGAATAACTCAAATTAAATGTTTAATATATTCGTAACTCAATATCGGCAAGAAAGCAAACCTGATGTGGCACCGTCGAATTTATTAACTCTTCCGTATCAGTCGAAATTGTTTTGTGTAATGAATTTATGATTGAGCATTTGTTTGCATGTACATACAGCAAGTTAACAAAGAGTAAACAAGCATTACCTGTCTCACAGTGTTGTCCTGTGAACCCTTCATGACATTGACAATTCCCGACAATTTCTCCTTCACAGGTGCCCGGGAAGCAATGACGACTGTCAGATCGCCATGAACACGTTTCTGGAAACACAAAAAGGGTAAATTGTTACATTCTGCCTCAATGTCTTGTAATCTTAGTAGAGTGCTGATAAAATTCATTGAACTTGAGTCTATCAAACTTTGTTTCCAACTTGTGGAATTATCTCAAGCTATTGTTCACGATATAAAAACAATTGGTATAGTACTTTAAGGTGCAAGAACATGAAAACATAATTTTAAGTTTGGATAGGAGGAAATAAAGCATGAATTAAAATACGTTTATGATATCACAATGGTAATACAGACGTTTACAAGACACCATGCTGTCTGTGTGCCTTGAGTAGGCTCTCCATCCTGGTAGGTCCTTCACCTCTCCATCACAGTACATACACCTTACGTTACTGGCCACCATACACCGCTGGTGCTTACAGTTGGCTATTTTTGGACAAACTGCACAACAAAAACATTGAATTTATTTTGAGGTTATTTTAGTTTGAATATTGGTATGTCAAATTGAATTATTTACATAACACGATAACTTTAAATAAACCCATACTTTCACAGTTTGGTCCGTTGCCGTAAAATCCGTCGTTACAGTTTCCACAGACCTCTGGTGACAAACAACTTCCGCCACTGTTGTGTTGACGGAAGCCACTTCTGTACTCTACATAGTCTGCATGATACACACTACAAGCGGCTGGATCGACTCTTCCCGCACAAATGGCTGCAATTGTATCGGAAATGAATATATTACTTTTTCATGTATGTCTATATAATAGAGTTAGTTTCCATACAAGAACATATTTGGGCATGAAAACGTGTTCCCTGTCGACGGATTATACTTCACCAATCACTCTCTGTGTTCTTTTCTGAGCAAGTTTCAATAAAAAGATTGCACCATTACTAAAAATGATTACTTGTGGAATCAATATTCACTGACTGGTCATGGATTATTCAAACCAACATAAAAATAACATCACTGATGCTGGATGTTAATAAGATATTTCAATTTCTATCATATCAACTACTTAAAATATGGTTAGTAGAAGTTAGGTATAGGTTATTCAAGAATTAAATCGTGATGATATGACATTTAAGTCATTATGGAAAAACACAGCTTTACTGGCAAACATCATAGTGCTCGCAAGCACATTTTGATGTTTTGATTTTCTCTTGAATATCTGATGCATAACTTACCATAATCACAAGCAATGTTATCTTTCGACAGGTAGCCGGTACAGCAGTAGGGCACACCAACATAGTAGTACCTGAAATATAGTACTGTAGTTAATGTAGTAAATACATTAGTCTTCGTAAAACAAAGTTTCATAATAGCATTCTTACCGTGAATTTCTTATGTATATCATCCATCAATTGTAAGGCAATACAAATTTACGGTTCATAAATATAACTTTGAGGTAATAGAAATCACAGATTGTTTAAAAATCACATGTGGAATTATTTTCGTCATATAAAAAACGAATAAATAACAATAACCCCCTCTCATATTTGAAAAAAAAGCAAATATATTGTTCTTGAGCAGATTCTCTCGAGACTTGAGGAAAAATGTGTTTGGCCCTTTTTTCAAAACTTTCCGGTCTCTTGTAAAATAGGATAGATTGTCTGTCTCAGGTTTGGTCAGGGGTCATTGGGGAAACTCCCGTTTTTGTCTGAGACAGGATCTGTTTCATTTTAATTCAAAGTGGGTGATTAAAAGTAACGAGTTTAAATTCTCTGCAATACATAAAAGGTTATGGTGACAAATTCACAAAATAGAGGGTTCCCGACGTACCTGGTCCGTGTACACCTCTTCCAGAATCGTCCGCATTTTGTATGGTAGCGAGTGCTACGTTGTTCTGATCTGATACATACATGGTTTCTGAAAATATCGATGATACAAACATATAACGAGATGTGAACTATAGAAACAGTTGGTGCTGTATGTATTGTTTGCTTTTTTATATGTTGATTTTGTTATAAAAAAAACACCTATTATAATGCCTGTAGTTACAGATAGGAATATCTGTCTAAAAATCATGAATGATAGGTATATCTCTTTAAGCCTTATAGATAACATGGCAGGGGTGGGGGTTGACACAATGACCAAAAGGACATCTTTCTTAATAAACACACATAGCCACCACCATTTCAAGGTGCAATTGACAAATTGTGAGTGAGCAAGTGAGTGAGTGTCGACTCATTATTATGAGCTTGCCTCACAGTGTACTGTAATATTTTAGTGGAAAGAAATGTATGATATATAATCTGATATGCAAAGCCATAATAGTGCTTCTTTGGCGTTAATTTTAGATGGAATGAAATCATGTTGATCACGTTGTTCTATACATTCATTTCCTTTATATGTGTCACAGATTTCTATCTGATGCATGTATTTTCCATGTTTATTCCACACATTTGAAGAAAGATTATTTGATAAAAGCAAGCATTTAAATGGTACATAAATTATGTATAATAAAATGAAAACAGTTTTAAACTTCATGTCTTATAGGTCTATTTTTTTTACTTCAAATGATTTTCATTCGTTCACATTAAGGAACCCAGATTTTGAGTGTGATTGATCGTGTTTATTTCACTTCCTGCTTGGCCAGGTAATTACATTCGGGTTAAAACATGCCAATGAAGTCTTTCACACCAGAAATCACACTGACAAAGGGGATTGATATATGTATGCAATCTCATGAATAAACACTTAAAAAAGTACAATAGTGGAAAATATTGACTGACTGAACATGAAACAATAATATACATTGTAGTTTGATCAGAAATACAATAGACGCCATTTGTTAGAGAGTGTGTAGGTGTAACTATGTGGTGATAGTATTGGTAGCATAGCGCATTGTTAAAATTCATACAAATTTCTTATATTTCTATACCTACTCTTTATACAGAAGAATTTCTGTCCCTGAAGAGGACTTATCTGAGTCACGAATAAGTCGCTTGTTCAGACATACGTTTTCTTTATTACATTGTGATTTTTAATTGTTTTTCATATCATTTCATATCATTTCTGTGATAGTGCACAGTACATTAAACTCTCATGATTATCATTGAAAATACGTGTTTTATAAGCCGGGTACATTCTTGCTACATCCAGTAAATCGGTAATTTGTTTTGAATGACTAACAGTTATATTGAATTGATATTTTACAGAAGGCAATTTTCATCAAATAAAACCGTGATTACTAGCAATAACTTTTGTATCAATTACAAATGAAACATCGTGATAATATATCAACCCTTCAACCATCACAGACAGGTCGTTATTACCTAGGTATACAAAACTTGATGAGTTGATTTAACACTAGGAAGAAATTGATTTTATCTAAGCCGGGTTTAACTTTCTAAACAGACTTCTCCAAAGATAAAAAATAACATAATTTAAAAATATACATGATCGTTATATATACAGGTAGTAATAACTTAGAAATAATTATAGTCAGTTTGTAGCTTTGGACTTTTAAACGGCATTATTCTTGTCTCGGTCAAGTATTTTAAGTCATGTCATAAGAAGATCTTCAACGGCTCGTTGTTTACTTTCAATTGAGTGCAATCTTTATTTTGAATAACGAGTAAACATATGACACATGTAGTGTTGTACTGAACGAATTACTGAGTGTCGAGAGGGCTGATTTCTCGTGATTATACTTTATAGTAGCGTGGCAAATAAATGAGAATGTAATTGTAGCTTTAAGGTACCCCATATAGATGGAAACATAGATAGGAACGTTTTTTAGGAGTGACGATTGATGATAATTAATATCAATTTGAGTATTAGGCATATGCTCCAGCGAGAATAGATGTCAATCATAATCGATCATCATATTATCAAAAAGAATAAAATAGTTGTAATTACAATGAAAATATACAACAATACCATATCTCCATAGTTTGGCCTTTTCGCAATTTCATCCACTATTGTTTTCTATGCAAGGACTGATTGACCCAAAAACAAAACCCATATCATGATGAGTTAACTCGACAATAAATTTCTGCTGAAACATTCAGCTCGTTTGTCTATTGAAGCAATACATCAAGCAGGATCTATAGGTCTTATATTCTGTAAATAGGTCTGTAGCCTTTCGCCATCAAAATCAATAATAATGACTTCTGATTGACCCGTCTCTTAAAGGTTTAAAGTTCAGGTCATTACTTGAAGTTTTTTCTTTGCAGATCAAAACAATACACACTCAAGATCATTGTCAACTCTATCCTAATATCCAATACGCAGGTATCGTTTTATACAACTACTTATAGAAGGTTTGTATCGGATACTGAGTTCAATCCAGATTAAGGCAAGACTATGTATATTTAGATCAGGATCAACACATGCAGAGTTAGTTCTATCCCTCCTGTAAACATGATCAAAGTTTCCAAAAGCAATCTCTGAGATTCATCGAGATATGTTTCTGAAACGAAAACAAGTAGGAAAAAACAAATCATATAAAGTAATTGACGATCACGGATTTTCATTTATAGTACTACAAATGTACAGCAGTAAAAAAGGGCTTCTTTATAAAAGTACTATTAAATAAGTTTATCGATTTTATGTTAAAATTGGTTCGATCGCACGACTCCTGAAAGCAAGGATGCAGGAACGTGAAATGTTAGTTATAATCACCGTAGAAATACTTTTATCATTTCCATTGGTATCTAAAAAAGGTATAATTTTAAAGATTTTACTTCAAATATACGACAAGATATCACGGTGCCGGAGTTTGTGTGCAATACACACGTCATTTGTATCAGAATACAACTCCACTCCGATGTGTAAAGCTTGGCGGTATTTACTTAAAATTATAGATGTTATCCTGATTCTTTAAACCAAAAATAGTGTTCATTACATTTGTACCATATTTCTGTTGTTTAAAACACATCAGCAATTTCTCGGTGATTTTGCAAATAGCCTTGCTTGATCTGCTCAAAAATGCAAATCAAGACGCGGGCAATTTACCATCTTATAAGGAAAGACCCGAAATAAACAATGAGCAACTATTTTAGGTATCGGGTCACCTGCCCTACCACGTGGTTACCGGGATACTCCTGTTTCCTTCTACATTCATACCCCTGCGCGCTACATCCGGGCCAACAAGAGTGATTAATATGAGTTGAAATACATTGTTTCATAATTGTTATAAAGTTACTTTAGTTACATAAACACAGTTAAAATAGCTCAAGACCTCTCGGCAAACGGGGCTAATTATTAACTGTACAAAATGTCATTTTCATAGTAATATCAAATCAACCTTGCTACATTTTTGTATATGTATCTCCAACCAAAAAACGTGTATTCCCTAATGAACAATGATTAAACGAAACATAGAATAATGATAAACCGAATAAAACAATATTTGTAAGCGGTCAAAATATCAAATAAAAGTAGTTAAAACCTACTTGCTGCGCAGTAAAAAAATGAATAAAAAAAAACCGTTTCATATTCCTTCATGAAAATTTTAAAAATATAAATAAGCGGAATAGTTTATTCCAATAAAATATACATTTGATTTCTACTTACCTTCCTGCTACAACAGAATCTGTTGGTTGTATAAACACTATAACTAACAAACAACTGAACGTTGTCCCGAGGGTGTTGACGGTGGGAAACATGTCGTCAGGTATGGTATGTATACAAGCTTACACCTAACTACTACCAGGTAAATTTTACTTCCTGATTGTCAAGTCCATTTATTTTTAACTATTTCATTCAATGATTGATGTTTCTTGTTATGGTTTAACACAGAGGTGCAATTTAAAAATAAAATTAAGTCCAATGATGGCGATGACTTGTAACCAACAAAAAAAGGAACACCTTATAATGAGCAAACTTTTATTATCAGGATACCTGTATACGTATATGTTACCAGATACCATTGTAGAGTTTACATATATATTCAACTCCTCTTAGATAACACGAAATCCATATATTCCGAATTCTGATATAAACTGAAACGATAAGTCCTGACATATCCAATTTGTGTTGTTGTATATGCCACATTGACAATACACTGAAACTGTAAACAAATTATAATGTTATAAATAAGACCTTGGTAGGTCGGTCAGACAGGGGTTTAAATAGCCTGCTATTCATTACCCGTATAAAGCACCAGTTAGCATCGTGGGTCGTGTAAATATAATCACAATGTACACAGCAAAGTATAATATTTGATAATGTATGTTGTTCCTAACTACCTCTGACAATTGTACTGGTTAAATATACAATGTACACACTCAACAGGACATGACATTTATATCTATACGTAATTTATTTGTTACATTTCAGATAACATGATATGTATTCCGGAAAGAATATTTGAATAATCAGAAGAATGATTAGTTTTATTTAGGACATAAGTAATCTTTGTTTGGAAGATAGCGTCGCTCATTTTACAATTTTAACGGTAGATTTCAGATAGTATTGTTTGTTGCACACTCTTTTTCTGTAATATGTCGATTGGGATATTGTTATTGTGTGTTTTGTTTTAAATATAACAGTTGCTTCCTTGCAATTGTTCACTATTAGAGTACAGGGGCACTATCGTCATAGAATGCATAGTTATCATTTGGGAAAAGGTGAACAATTATCTGCCATTAATAATTGGTAATGATCTCAATCTATTTCTGAGCATAATATTGCCTTCTTAAGCAATTGATGTTCCAACGCCGTCATAACACATGCAATCGATCATCACTAAAATAGCTTTTATAACGGAAGCTAAGCGGTTTTTTTGGTTCTGCTCCACGAATCGAACCACGGCAGTGGTGCCTGAATATCCACCTCCCACTTTGCAATTTTTCCAAAAGGTAAAATTTGTAAATTTGAGAAAAGGAAAAGAAACAGCTTATATTTTTTTGAATAACAACGATTTGACTCCTCTGCAAATGGTGATACGTGACTCTATTTGGTAAAAAAACGATAGTGATGGAATGGGTTCAGCTAGAAAAATATATATTTTAACATTATCCCCCAATGGACAACAGCATGATATCACATGCATATATATCAAAACATAGACTAGACGTTTACAAAGAAGATTACGTAATCACAGCCCAAAATTTTATTTTGTGAACCATTAGCAGGTATTTATCAACTCTATAGTATGGTACAACGCTTATGTTTGCTATCACAATAACGACATTGGTACACATCAGTCTTGTAAATAATATGCTTTCGAAGGTTTTGGTCTGGTGACAGAAAAATCAATATCTATATAATTATACACTATGGTTTTGATAGTAAGGTAGTCCAAAAAGTTTTACAGTTAAATGCTTTCCGATGTTTTATGATTAATGTCAAGTTCAGTGACAAATCCATGATATGTTTACTGTTCAACAAACAGCCAAATCCATGTACATAGTATATAAATGGCTATAGTAACTGAAGTGCGAAGGTAGCGTTTACACCGTCATCCTAGGACTGTTGTGAATCTATAATCAGACACTGTGAGAGTTCGAATTGAAGCTTTGCGACTCTCTCCACTTCGAGACAATAACTAGCAGTTCTTTTTTCTGTAAATTAAAATCTATTTATTTTACAACAATTTTAAAACAAATTCTAAAACAAATGTATCAATATAATATTACTCTTGTTGGCCCGTATAGTAGCACAGGGGTCTTATTATGGCAGGAAACCGTATTAATCGGATGGAAACCCACGTGGTTGGGCAGGTGACCCCATTCATTTTCATATCCGATCGGGAAATCGAACCCTGACCGTCTTGGTGAAAGTGTGCTTCCCTGCTAAAAGATCATTGTCAATAAGGCAAGATCTTGTATCCCCTGATCAAGTCTACATTTAATATTAATGGTATTATAAGCGTTAAACAAGACAACAACACCTGACAGAGTTAGTTCTATCCTTCCTGTAAACATTACCGAAGTTTCCAAAAGCGATCTCATAGATTCACCAATATAAGTTACAGAAACGAAACAAATAGAAACAACAATATCAAATTAAGACATTAAAAAAACATACTAGATATATATATAAAAAAGGCATCATGTTAAGTTCAAATATTCAACAGAATATTACGGTATCGGATACACACAACATTTGTATTAGAATACAACTGCACTACGATATGCAAAGGTTTTCGGTACTTATTTAAATACGATATATGTATTTCCTATACAAAAAGTGTTTATTATCATATCTCTGTTGTTTAAAACACATCGGCAATTTTCTGATGTTTTTTCCCAATTGTATTTTGTTTAGTAAACTCACATATAAAAATCAAGTCGCGGACAATCGATGGTTTTTCTGACCCGAAATAAAGAATAATCAATTATTTAAGACACTGTTTAGAGATACTGCACAGGTTGTCCTCGGGGGGAAAGGATCGAACTTGTACCTATCAGCATACTAGTATTTAAACAGGGAGTGTTCGATTCCCCGATCTGATGTAAACACAGTTGAAAACGCTCAGAACTCTTGGCTAACGGGACTGATTATTTTTTTACAGGACAACATGCCATTTTATAAGTAAAATTAAATAACCAAAATCGACCTTAACAGATTGATTTTAAACCTTAAACCCTGTATTCTCTAATGACCAATTATTGAGACAAATATTATAAAATAAACCAGTAAATAAAAAATATATATAAAAAAAATGGAGCAGTTTTAAGTTTACTGTTGCGCGGTAAGAAAAAAAGGATAAAAACCCCGATCTAATTACTTAAGGCAATTTTTTAAGAATACACCTACGATGAATAGTTAATTCCGATAAAATGGACATTTGATTTTTACTTACCTTCCTGCTACAACAGAATCTGTTGGTTTTATATAAAATATAACTAGCAAACAAAAGAACGTTGTCCTGAGGGTGTTGGCGGTGGGGGACATGCCGTCAAGTATGGTTATGTATACTAGCTTACACCTAACTACTTCCAGGTGAATTTTACTTCCTGATTGTCAAGTCTATTGACTTTTAACAGTTATATTCGATGACTTATGAGCGATGTTTAACGTAATATATATGTGCAATATTTAAGTTCATTGTAACCTACACAACCCTACCCCGTATACTCAGGAAACTTTATAATCAATGTACCTGTATAACTATATGTTACATTTGAGTGTTAACTAAACGTTACAGGTATTGTACTAGAAATGCACTACGTTGAGACTTGTAGTTCACTACGTTGAGACATGCAGTTCACTACGTTGAGATTTGTAGTTCACTACGTTAAGACTTGTATTTCACTATGTTGAGACTTGTAGTTCACTACGTTTAGACTTGTAGTTCACTACGTTAAGACTTGTAGTTCACTACGTTCAGACTTGTAGTTCACTACGTAAAGACTTGTAGTTCACTACGTTGAGACGTGTAGTTCACTATGTTGAGACTTGTAGTTCACTATGTTAAGACTTGTAGTTCACTACGTTGAGACGTGTAGTTCACTACATTGATACTTTGTAGTTCACTACATTGATACTTTGTAGTTCACTACGTTCTGACTTGTAGTTCAATACGTTGAGACGTGTAGTTAACTACGCTGTGACTTGTAGTTCACTACGTTTAGACTTGTAGTTCACTACGTTGAGACTTGTAGTTCACTACGTTGAGATTTGTAGTTGACTACGTTAAGACTTGTATTTCACTATGTTGAGACTTGTAGTTCACTACGTTTAGACTTGTAGTTCACTACGTTAAGACTTGTAGTTCACTACGTTCAGACTTGTAGTTCACTACGTTAAGACTTGTAGTTCACTACGTTGAGACGTGTAGTTCACTATGTTGAGACTTGTAGTTCACTATGTTAAGACTTGTAGTTCACTACGTTGAGACGTGTAGTTCACTACATTGATACTTTGTAGTTCACTACATTGATACTTTGTAGTTCACTACGTTCTGACTTGTAGTTCACTACGTTAAGACTTGTAGTTCACGATGTTCAGACTTGTAGTTAAACTACGTTCTGACTTGTAGTTAAACTACGTTAAGACTTGTAGTTCACAACGCTGACACTTGTAGTTCACTACGTTTAGACTTGTAGTTCAATACGTTGAGACGTGTAGTTCACTACGCTGTGACTTGTAGTTCCCTACGTTTAGACTTGTAGTTCACTACGTTGAGACTTGAAGTTCACTACGTTGAGATTTGTAGTTGACTACGTTAAGACTTGTATTTCACTATGTTGAGACTTGTAGTTCACTACGTTTAGACTTGTAGTTCACTACGTTAAGACTTGTAGTTCACTACGTTCAGACTTGTAGTTCACTACGTTAAGACTTGTAGTTCACTACGTTGAGACGTGTAGTTCACTATGTTGAGACTTGTAGTTCACTATGTTAAGACTTGTAGTTCACTACGTTGAGACGTGTAGTTCACTACATTGATACTTTGTAGTTCACTACATTGATACTTTGTAGTTCACTACGTTCTGACTTGTAGTTCACTACGTTAAGACTTGTAGTTCACGATGTTCAGACTTGTAGTTAAACTACGTTCTGACTTGTAGTTAAACTACGTTAAGACTTGTAGTTCACAACGCTGACACTTGTAGTTCACTACGTTTAGACTTGTAGTTCAATACGTTGAGACGTGTAGTTCACTACGCTGTGACTTGTAGTTCCCTACGTTTAGACTTGTAGTTCACTACGTTGA